CAGAGAAAGGCCTAAGTTTAGGTCTTACCAACGCAGAAATGATTTTACCTAATTACTACAAAGTCATTGGAGGACGATTTCCAAATATAACTTTTGAGGTCTACTTTGTACTATATCTTTTTTTCTTTTTGAATTTATTAAGTTATATAACACACAGTATAAAGGTTTGTTACACTATCAATGTAATCTAATATGTTATAATCATTTATTAGTTATCATTTGTATAATTAATGTTATAAAGATAAAATATTTATCGATAATACCTTATAAGTGACATGATTCTATAATTATCTTTTACATCGTCACTCATCAGTGAATTTAAACTCTTAGGTTTCTTATATGGGCAAGTTGTGACGATTTACTTTTTTGATTAGCGGCAAGTTGAGACGATTTCCTAATGTCACCCCTATCTCTCCATTTTGTCTAGACATATGGCACTAAGCAGACATGCGTAGGAGAAAGCATAAACACAAAGATAATATTAAGTGCGGAGCAGAAAGTTTTTTTCCCTGGGAAATCCTAAAACTATTAGAATTTAATTATAATCAAACTCTAGGTATAATATATCAAGATGGCTTGACCAAAATAGCGTGGGAAATCAAATGTATTTTCATACTATAACTGCTGCACGTAAGAATTTCATTATCCACTCATAGATTTTGCTGAATTCTTGCTTTAGTATTTTGATATTTTAATTATGAATATATGCACGCCATTCGTTTGGATTCTTAGCAGAAAACCAATAGCAGCAGTGGAGTGCAAGTGCTAAGAAGATTAGGAAATTCTCATTTAAAAAGGGATTTTTTTTTAATAAATTTTTTTATCGATAGCATATGTATAACATGAAGGATAAGAAGGACAACAAAGAAACTCAAATGGAATCCAAATTTCTTGGCTTCCATTTCGTTGTGGTGGACCGATTATTGCACTATACTTATGATAGAATTAGAAAGAAGCTAAAGGGGAAAACAGGACTCTGGATTTGATTGAAATGCAAGCTGAGGGTGGACTCATTATTGCAATTTTAATAAACTCCACTATTATTTTGTTTAGAATTTATGACTCCATATATGTAGAAATCTGAAGGAAAAAGAGGCCATGATTTATTATCTATGAAGGATAACCTAATCAAGATATGAGGATAATCTTAGTCGAGAAACAAATGAAACAAAAACCAACTGATGACGTTTTTACATTAGGTTCCACTAATGTTTGATATGTTAGTTTTTAGGCACACTGTTGTATTCATAGAAAAAGCACAAGGAATAGATTTGAATATCAAATCCCTGCCCACTATTTGTTTAAAATAAAAAATCCTGAACTTACCTAACTAAAATATAAAGTTTTCCCGTACAATCCTACAAACGTACAAAATCAAATCTTGGAGCATGAGTATATATATGTGCATATGACATACTTGACTAGCAACTCATGAAGTTTTCCAGCTTTGATTGTGAAAGCTGAATTCTCCAATACATGGTAATTTGAAGTCTCTATCCTCAGCAGTCCTTCTCAAAGCTTAACCAAATCAATCTCACATTTTACCTGACAAAAACGAAAAGTTTGGACAAGGTGTGTGTTTTAGCAAAAATGGTTAAGGAAAATGAAGTGTCTGCTGCAAGCTTGGAATGGAGGGTCAATATGCCTAGTGGCTCTTCGCAAATTTTAGTGCCAGAGTCAAGGCAAACATGTAGATTGTTAAGCTTAGTAATGGGGTTTGTTTCAAACATCACCAAGTTTCTTGACAAGGCATGGAATTTAGCTGTAAATGAGCCAAAAAAGGTTATTCATTGCCTCAAAGTAGGATTGGCTCTTTCTATTGTGTCACTGTTTTATTACATGAGGCCTTTGTATGATGGCGTTGGAGGGAATGCTATGTGGGCAGTTATGACAGTTGTAGTAGTTTTTGAGTACACTGTAGGTGAGTATTCATATGTCACACTATGATTTATCTTCTTTTTTTTTGTGTGTGAATTAATTCATTGTGCAAACAGACTTTTGGTAATGGTATTGATTTGGAGTCAAAATCCGATTCCCATATGGCAGGTTCTACACTATATAAGTGTGTAAATAGAGCTATTGGAACATGTCTAGCTGGATCTCTAGGAATTGGTGTTCATTGGGTTGCAAGTCAATCTGGAGACAGATTTGAACCTATTATTCTCCAAGCTTCAGTTTTTCTCTTAGGTAAGTAACAGTTTCTTATTACTATATGTTTATGAGAACTTTATACTAGTTGTGGATTGCTCACATGTTTTAAACATATCTTCCTTGCAGCTGCTACAGCAACCTTTTCTCGATTTATACCTACTATAAAAGCGCGATTTGATTATGGTGCCATGATCTTCATTCTTACCTTCAGCTTAGTGTCAGTGTCAGGGTATCGCGTTGATAAGTTGGTTGAATTGGCTCATGAAAGGGTCTCCACTATTGCTATTGGGGCCACCATCTGTCTTTTCATTACCATGATTTTGTGTCCTGTTTGGGCTGGGACGGAGCTGCATCATCTCATTAGTACTAACCTTCAAAAACTTGCTGATTCCTTAGAAGGTAATACTATGCATTAGATAACTGAACAATGATATCACAAGTGTATGCTCTCAATGAATGAAGAAACTAATACTAGTTTTTGGACTTTAATATTTCAGGATATGCTGCTGAGAACTTCAGAGTAGATGGCAGTAAAAATTTAGATGAGAAAGATTCCAGTAAGAGATTGCAAGGATACAGATGTGTACTTAATTCTAAGGCTGCTGAAGAATCCATGGTTAGTCAACAACTTTCTCAAATAATGATCGATCCAGCATGTAATATCAAAACTCTCTCCAGTTTTGCTAATATAAGATAAACTCTACCTCTTGTATTACAGGCCAATTTTGCCAGATGGGAGCCAGCACATGGAAAATTCAATTTCCGACATCCATGGAAACAGTACCTCAAGATTGGAGCTTCAATGAGAAGCTGTGCCTATTGCATTGAGACTCTCCATGGAGGCATTAACTCCAATACTGAGGTAAAAAGAAGCACTCCTATTCAAAAAATTCTAGCTTTCTGAACAAGTCTTGCTAACATATTTTCTGCGAAGCTAGTAATTGCGTTTATATCATTTTTGTTTTTGCTTGTGACCACAGACTCCTGAGTTCCTTAAGAAGCCTCTCAACGACGTCTGCATGAGATTAGGTACTAGCTCCTCTAACGTGCTAAAAGAGCTGTCGAGTATGATAAAAACGTTGACAAATTCAACAAAGCTAGATATACTTGTTGATGAAATGAATTCTTCGGTAGAAGGCCTTCAAAATGCCCTCAAGACACTCCCAAGTTACCAGCATATACCAACCCCAGATCCCAAAACTGAAGAGGCACCTACTGGTACAGAAGAGTCTATCTTGAAACCTACTGCGCTATCACTCATGGAAATTGTTCAAATGGCCACTCTAACATCACTGCTCATAGAAATAGCATCAAGAATAGAAGGGATTGTGAAGGAGGTCAATGAACTGGCAAGCCAAGCACAATTCAAAGATGATAGCAGCAAGAAGTCCAAACAAACTCAAACAAAGTTAAATGAAAATGATGGTAATGAACATGAAGTAACAATGACGACTCTTCAAAAAGTCTGAGTTACCATTATAGGATGAATCGAACATGGTGGGGTTTCTTCCCAATAGCTGACAGGCTTTCACTTTTATGAGAAATCTATTACTGTAAACTGCATATTGTACAGAAAAGAGATAACTTTCAATACTATACTAGGGACTTTTGAGGAATAGGGTGAACTTTCTTTCTCCATCTATTTTGCTGCATTTCTCTCTGTCTTTTCCTCCATTTTTCTACTCTTGAAATAAGCGCAGAGGATAAAGAACCATGTTTTTACATATTCTGAACCTTTTTGTAGACATAAATGATTTTATGTAAGTTTAACTAGTTAGTAGAATTACAAATGATACAACGAGATTAACTAAGCTATTTAAGTTTGTTCCTCCACGTAAATCTGTCATGGCATTACTATTTCTATTAGAGAATAACCTAATCCCCGTTATGAGAACATAAATGAAGGTGGTGAAAGTTCAGCCTCTTATTCTCTTGAATGAACGAGAGAATATATAGATCTCTAAGGCAATTAAACTGCATGACAGCAGCATGCACCGTACTGCCAAGTGCATTCCAAGATCACCAAACCTAATTGTTACTGCAACTCTTTCTCTTGCTTTAGCAAAGTGGAACTCTATCCCTGGTGGCGGGACCCAAAAGCCAATGGCCTAATTAGATGTCAAGCTTTAGAAATTATGCGCCAGAAACTACAGCTGCTGAGCTGCAGTTGATTTTTTTTTTCCCACTTGGCAGATATAACTAAACTAAACTTAACCTTAGACATTTTATGTAGCTAAGTTTTATGCATTTCTGGCTTGTGGCCAGAAGGCACAAAGTTTTTAAGAGGCATGAATACTTAGTGGTTTTATTTTTACCCTGTCAACTCTAGCTTGAAACTGGTAGAATGATCTGAACTCCTTATAGTGTATTTTCAACCAAAACATCACAGTGACCTCACTCGTCAAAATTAAATAATAGGGAAAATCATAAGTAGGTAAAATTGTCTGTACCTAGAAATGATGTTACATAGAAATTCTTTGATAAGGAAAATCTGTTGGTAACCAGAAATGGACATTCTTGATAGATAGAGCAGAGGTCTGAAAAGTTTGTTGTCGATATCAGAAGGTTATCCTTCTACTACAGGAAGGCCAGGGAGTCCGTGGAATACTTCTCTTCTCTCGGTTTCATCCCAGAATTTGCCCTGAATCCGGCAGAGTTCTAGCTGGATTTAGCTTTGGAAAGAATACCCACCAACTTCAAATAAGTAAATGATTTCGTCAATCATTAAAGGAAAGGCTCAACAATGGGAGGGAGGTGTGACAAGGGAAGGATAATTTGTATTCTGTAACAAGTCCATATTTTCAGCTATTATGTACCAAAAGTTTGGCTCCATAATTAGAATGACTTGCTAAGAAACTGTGAAGACATATATTAGTATGCAGGATAACAAACTAACACCAATAACTTACTTTCAATGTACAATAGGATCATTATGGGTGGCGCACATGGACAGCCAAATGGCAGTTCCTGGACCAGAATGCTTATGATAAGATGTGAACTAGACTAATTATCCCAAATTGATAAGTACAACATCAGTAGCATTTTATATGCAATACCATGAGAATGATGTCACCTGTCAAGTAAGTGATTAGAATCCTCATGTTCCACAATTGCTCCTTCATTGCTGCTTCCCCAGCCAAGGTTTACAGCTAAGTCTTCGACTGCAACTTTTATGACATCACTTCGAACACCAATGTCAGTAGCGTATCTGCTCATACAGTACATTCCCGCTGTAACAGTGGCCACGCCAACAGGACTAGGAATTAGCAACTTCAGAGGGGAGGAAAGAAGTGCAGCTAAAGGAGCACCAACAACAGAAGAAGCTTGTCCACTTCTTCCAACTCCCAATCTATCAAGTGTCAGAAGACCTGTTTTGCAATACAACGCAAAGTACTCACAGTTGTTTTGGAACACATCATAGTTCCCAAATCCATTCTGGAGAAGATGCATTGCTCGGTGGATAACCATCTCTGGAGGGTCTGACACAGCAGTAGTGCAAGTGCCCCCTCGCACTTTGGCAAGGAAAACAGAGGGGCTTACTCCATATTCAAAGCTGTAGAGTGAACCATTACGGAGAAAGCAATTCAGACAAGAAAGAACAACATTACTGTTAGGGAGCCTAAATCCACAGTCGGGAAAGAATGGACAGGACGAAGAAAGGCCTGATATTTCATCAGCAGCATCTGAAGAGCTCTCGACCAGCGTAAAATGAACCACTTTGCTCCCACCAACAAAAATACCTATCCCACCAAATTGCTTAGAAGCTAAGACTTGTGAAATATGATGACTGTCTCTTTACTTGTTTTTGGAAAAAGAAATGAAACTCACCATTTAACACTAGTTCAAATAGTATGATAAATTGGATCAATATGAAGTATGAACCAGCAGTGACTCAACAATGACTTGTATGTCTTAGTAACCACAGCTGATTCACAGGAAAATGTTTGTTTTTCTCTTTTGGAAGGCCATTTTTTCAGATCAACCAAGATCAAAGTATCCATAGCGAACTTTTTAAGTAGTTTGATGAGGGTGAAGTACTTCCATACACATGATATTAGAGGGTCTCTTAGTGTGTCTATGTATAATTAGCTTTTCCAGTTATTATTGTCATAAGGTATAGATGGCATGCAAAGCCAATTTTAAGAGTTCTACTGCTGTCTTTTAATCCCCTAATAATCACACCATGAAAAGACCAGAGAGTCAGTGAAGAAAATTCATAAGAAAAGGAGCCTGCAGAGACCAGATTTATGTCCACATGAAAGAAGCTTACCATTTAATTCATGAATCAAGACTCAAGAAGTCTTGAGGTGTTTAAGAGTTGAACCAAGTACACATAAGACGTCATGATTTTAACTATAAAATAGACAAGCACATCTATCTGTAAAAGAAAACTCTGAATGCAACATCAAGGTAGACGTGGTTTTGATAGGATGGAATTCAGTGATTAGAGAACTGGCTGATGGTAAGCAACACCTTCGATGCCTATTTTAGTCTAATTTGCTCAATGTCATCCCACTATGTTTGAGTGAAACAGATAAGTTTAGACCAGTTGAGTTTATCAGGTAAAATGGCCTCTCAAAAGTTTATCCGCGTTACTTTAATTAGCCTTAGACTTTTCCTGCTTTTGAGCATAGCTTAAGTCCTAGATTAAGCAAATGTACATTACTGAAGCCATACACAAATATGAACCCCCATTTATAGAATAAGCTATTTATTGCTCAAGCACCAAAAAGTTATTTTTTTTCTAATGCAGGAAATTTCTACACAATTTGTGGGTCAAACGAGAGAGGGGCAAATTAACAAATGGAAGTAAATAAAAGCTAATACTTGATTAAATAATCTCAAGCACATAGGAGAAAGTTGAAAATCATTGTGAAAAGACAAATCTTGTGTTTAGAACCAAATCAATTAATCAAAGGTTTAAAAGAAAAAGAAATGAAAGCAGAAATTACAACAAAAGAAACAGAAAAACCTAAGATGAAATCGGCGGACTTTAAACTCGAACTTTACACAGCAGCAATCTGCAGAATGCAAGGGAAAAAGAAGGCAACCAAATAGTAGATAAATAGTAATTCAGAAGAACCCACATTTCCGCTTTCTGATATGCATCGATCAAAGATCATAAATTTTGGGCCAAAAGTGATGAAATGAAAATGGAAAACATGCAAAATTCTCATTAATTTCTAGCTTTATGTGGACTAGGAATTGAGGAATTAGTGAATATTTACCATGGTGAGAATAAGCAAAGACAGCTCGGTAAGTGTAGATATGGTCTCCTGCTTTAATCTCACTTCTCTCCACTCTGTTTGTCAGCAAACCCATCTTCTCCCTCTCTTCCTTTTACTCCTCCAGAGTCCAGAGTCCAGTACTCCTCTCTTCTCCAAAATGCAAATGTACTTAAAATAAAGTTGCAATCTTTAACAATTCCAGGCCAACCCCACTGCAAAAGGAAATTGATTACTCAAACAAATGGACGCATTTCATGTTTCTTTAAACAAATGGAGACAAAATGACGTGGTAGAAGGTGATAGGTTCACTGCAGAATCTACTCAACAACCGTTACCAATGAAAGTTATGAATAAATAAAATATATAGAACAAATAAAATCAAAGACAATTATGATGTTGCATGTTCTTTTCTTGTGGGTCCCAATATCCTCTTGTTTCCACGAGCTTTGCTTTCTCTCTCATTCTCTCTCTTTTTGACTGACGGGGTCAGAATGAAAATAAATGTTAAAAGAAAAAAACAAATGGTTCTTTTGGACTCAAAGAACAAAAATATATGGAGGAAAAATGCGGTAAAATACCGTGCTATACTTGAACTCAAATGGACGGAAATGTATAGCGCACATATGTACTGCTCTATACGATAGCGCTCTATATATACGCGCTATACCTACACAAATAAGCCGGCCATCTTCTTCCCCAAACAAAACAGAACACACCNGGTCCCACAAAAATTATAGATTTTCGGTCTCACATCCTAGTTAAGGCATTATCTCGTAGTGAGTTGCTCATTTCGGCTCCAAATCACTAATTTTCAAGTTTCTAGAAAATTAAAATCGAGATATTCCGATTTAGTTTTTGTTAAAACTCATGTATAAAAAATACCTATTGGTTATTTTTTACTGTGCTCTATGTTATTTCGTAATTGTTTTGCGATTTAATTAATTTGTTATTTTTTATCCGGATTATATTATTAGTGTGCTAAAAAAATTAGTAAAATAGAAAAATTGTTATTAGTTGTTAGACAAAATGTTAATTAGTTAATTTTTACTGTGATATATGTTTTTTCGTTATTGTTTTTGATTAAATTAATTTGTTATTTTTATCCGGTTTAGATTATTTATTTACTAAAAGACTAGTAAAATAGATAAATTGTTATTTTAGGAATAATTAACCTTATTTAGATGTTATTGTTGTACATATATGAATATGTGACCTTATTTACCAAATCTTGTGCCCTAATGTAGTGCTCGTATTTGTAATGTAGTACCCTTTTAGCGTAGTAAAATGTAGTGCCCTTTAGCGTAGTATCTTTGTAGTTATTGAATTTAATCATTTAATTATCTGTTAAACCCAAAAATATCTGAAAAAAGCTAATAGTTCAAACACAAACTCTCTCGAATTTTAGTCAACAAACGTAAGAAAATAATATTAGAAAACAACAATATTTGTCAAACTAAGTATTGTTATATGAATATTTAATAATTAAATCCTTTATAGTTATGAAAATTAATTATTTAATTTTATTATAGTCAAAAATAGGTGAGTAACAAACAAACATATAAAATAATAAACTAACATATAAAATAACAGACCTGTTGAGTGATAAATTGGAAAATATTTCTCATCATGAACACAAGAACATTGTATACCTTGGTGCAACTGGGCCTCAAATATCGAGTCTGGAACCAAAATGTGATTCATTTGGACTCACACAAAGTATTGTTATATGAATATTTAATAATTAAATCTTGTATAGTTATGAAAATTAATTATTTAATTTTATTATAGTCAAAAATAGGTGAGTAACAAACAAACTTATAAAATAATAAACTAGCATATAAATAATAAACTAACATAAAAAATAATAAATTAACATATAAAATAAGAAACAAACATATTAAATAGTAAACTAACATATAAAATATTAAAAATGTTAAACAATGAAAAATAAAAATACTTTAATTAATATTGTTCGGTTTACAGTGTCGTCATGGAGGTTCCGCCTGTGCATCCCGGACCTGCCTCGCTAGAGCTACTGTTGCTACAGGCCGAGCATATGTCTTCGTACATATGGGAGGGGCGGGTATTGGCCCAGACGTTCCATGCTAGAGGAGTAGACGATATGTGGGACTTTCTTAGGGCCCACCATCTCCATCCCCGTATAGTCAGACGCCTTCAGGATACCGGTTTCTATATTAGGTTTGGGCCTAGGAGCGGTTCCTACAATTGCAACCACCTCTACCACCCATCGCTTCGGATGTACCACCTCCAACATTTCTTCCTTTAGCTAGAAGGTGGGTTGATAGGCGAGGCTACGGACGCGAGGTCGAGGCTCGACATAATCTCCCCTATTGCAGGGATTTGTTGGATTTGCTGGAGGGCGCGCATGTACATGTATACTTAAGTTTACTTGGCCTGGCTTTATATGTGTTGCGTATACTCACGATTCCTGTTTTCACCCGGAACCTGTTCGGCTAAAACTGCTCCAAAATAACTACCTGATGATTGAGGATATCCCTACTTTGCAGAACCTCATTATTGCGAACGTATTCAGCCTTAACGTACATTTCCAACATTTTTATCATAAGATATTCCCGATGTTCATCCGGAGTCCTCAAAAAATCTTTTAAAGTTTCATCGTCTTCGATGTTAAACTCGGCATAACAAGTAATCCCTTGCGGAGTAACAGAATACAGATATCTTCCGGTTACTTTAATATTCACCGAACGTTTGCTCACACTCATTTTTTTACATAACAACGATACCAATGTATCGTACTCCATTGTAAGTGGAAACTTAACATGACAATGTGGAGAACAACTATAGTGTACTGAGTTATTCTCCACCACAACCTCACCCCTAATATAATGAAACCCTAATTCTTCGCTCTTCAGACATTATGACAAAATGCAAAATAACTTAACGAACAAATATTTCGGAAGACTTGAAGGATTCTGAATGGATTTTTACAAAATCCTTTTGAAACTCTTTAAATAAGGAAAAATTTGACGTATAGCGCCTTAAATATGCGCGCTATACCCAGTTGAATTATTGGTCTGCCAATTAAGTTCAGAAGATTGGCAGTGGTGCGGTATTTCACCGCGTTATACCCTGTTGAATTATTGGCGTGTCAGTTAATACCAGAAGAATTATTAGTGGGCCCAAAGTTCAAATATAGCGTGGTATTTCACCGCGCTATACCTTAACAGACAAACATGTCGTTAAGGTATAGCGCGGTGAAATACCGCGCTATATATATTATGGTTCCCAAGTTTTTTCCCCACATATTTTGGTTCTTTAAGTCCAAAAGAACCACATTTTGGCTCCAAACTCTGAAGGGGCAGGGCAGAGATAACAGAGAGGAAATCCTTATCAGTAATCAGTACCTTACCAAATTAGGTGCCCGTTTTGATTGGCTTATTTTAAGTGCTTTTAAGCCAAAATAACTTTTAAGTCATTTTGTAGTGTTTGGATAAAATTAAAAAATGCTTTTAATCATTTGTTTTTAAGTTAAAATGACAAAAATAAGCCAAAAGCTAGAATTCCTAACTTATGACTTTTGGCTTAAAAGTCACTTAGAACAAGCCTATCCAAACATGCTCCAGGTGTCTTTTGTAAAACCTTTTATCACTTTGAATATTAAAAGAAAATACTTTAAATTTTATATGAAAAATCCGTGATCAAGTAAAGAAAATGTTAAAAATAAAGTTAAATCATAACTCAGAAAATAGATGTTAAATCACAGCCTAAAAAAGTTAAGTCTTTTTTGTAATAATGTTCAATATTGATGATTAGAGGTAATTTAGACATGATGTATACACCGGTTACACGTATTTTTTCCCCATAGATTATGAATCTATGATTTTACTTTTTCATTTAACATTTATATTCAAGATAACTTCCATGTGATTATGGAATATTTTCTTAAATCCTATTTACTCATCCATAAAAATCACCACTCCTCTCCATTCGACATATTTAAAGGAAGAGAGAGTCCTGATTATTGAAAACCCATTTGATACTGACCAATATCGTTGTGCCATCTTCTTAGATTGTGTACATGGATAAACTGGATGTATGGTCAATGTAAAGGCTACAGGATTCTTTTTACTTTTAAATTTGGACTAAATAGGCCTATAATTGTCAAAAGTTTCCAAGTGAAATTTCTATAAATGCAAAGAGGAGTATCATATTCTTAGGGAAAGACCTTTAATAGTTTGTAACCAAACACCGGAGCAAATGTAATTCTTTGCCCCTTAGACACGCCAAGAATAATATCTAAGATTATATAGTAGACAAAGAAAACTAAATGACTGCCTTACTTTTTGGGGAAAGCACCAAACAAGTTAATTATCGATGATACAGACCATTACTCCACCAAACAAAAATGAAATCCCATTACTTGCATTGCAGGTCAACCATATTAGTTGATTCCTTATTCTTACTTCACTCTTTTGAGTTCGTTAATTAGAACTAGAAATGTATTTTATGTCATTACATTAAAGAATTTCATCCCAAGAAAAATCCAGTTTTTATTTTCTAAGATAAATCAAACACAATGTCTGAGCCTGGGTAAACTATAATACCTGATTGAAAGACGGTAGACCTTGTAAATTTATGAAATCTAGAAATATACTGTCAGAAAGTTACACAGTACATGGGCAGACATACTGACTATTAACTCTCATATTTGGATCTTTCTCTGTAAATTCTACCCATAGAGACTGGTATGTTGAAAGAAAAGGATACGTGTATACATCCTCAAATATACAGATAAGAATAGTGTCAAAGAATGAGTATTGTATTAGTAATTGTTTGATGGAATAACTTCAGCTAGTTCTCCAAGAAGATTTTCCAACCATAGACTTTCACGTCAAAATCAGAACTATTCGCGAGTGAAAGTCTCAGTTCCTCAGCTGACTCAGCACTTTTTCCCAATAGCAAGGCGAAACCCCCACCACCTGCACCTACAAGCTTGTAACCACAGCAATAGCGATCAGAAAATGCGAAAAGCTTATCAACAAACTCATTGCTGCAGAAAGGATCCAGCTCCTGATGCAATCTCCATGCCTCCAACATTACGTCTCCAAGGGCATCAATGTCGCAATTCATTAAAGCTTCTCTTGCAAGCTTTGCAAGTTCAGTAAGGCGCTTGATGCTCGATACGAGCAAATTGTCTCGTCGAAGATAACGAGTAACCACCTTATGCAGCACTTGGTGTGCAAGTCGGACCTGCATATACATTGTCAACAGCTGAAATTGACAAATACTTGAACAAAGTTGGTTTGCAGTTAGTGTAAACTTGGACATGAACTAACCACCAGTCTCTCTCTACCAAGGAAGAGCATCTCAAGACTACCCTTCGAAGAGCACAATTAGAAATGTAGTCGCTGAAACTAAAACCTCCTAGACTACTGGACTGCACCAGTAACAAGCCAACAAATGTAGAAACAAATTTCAAAAGAAAATTAACAGTAACCTATACCTAATTACTTAAGAGTTAAGATCTTATAATCAATATCTCATGCAGTTCATAGTTTTTCCTCAAACATTCGTTCCAAGGAGAAGGAGAGCAGTAGGCACTCAGAATAAAGGAAAGCAATAGTGGCTTGAAGACACCCCCCCCCCCCC